TGGGCATTTGGCTATGCGTGCTGCTACTATAGTGAGCTTTCCGTGTTCCATTCATTGACTGGTCACGTTTTTTATAAAATGGGAAGGGTCCTTAGGGACTGTTTGGATGCATTGGGGAAATTTAGGCCTGTCCATCCGGCCCGGCCCGGCCCGGAAATCCGGGCCTGGGCCGGGCAAAACCGGGACCCGGACCCGGACCCGAGTACACCGGGCCGGGTCCAGGCCCGGGCCCGGGCCCGACCGGGCCGGGTTCCGGGCTGGCCCGGGTGATTTTCTTTTTTTTTTATTTTTTTTCCAAATTTTTTAATGTTATTTAACTTATAAATTATAAAAAAAAGACAAGAAAAATAACAAAAACAATAATTTTATTAATTACTTAAAATGACATAAATTACAAATAAGAAATGATAAAAACATATTCTTTATTAATAATTGATAAATCAGTTACAAATTACAAGTACAAATTTATTTTGGAATTAATCGCATCACAATAGATAAGTAAATCGCAACTAGGTTGGCACCTACTCACCTATATCACTATCATTTGCAATTATTTCCAAAATAATTCTTTACAAATTGTAAGCTAAGATATAAAAACTACAATCTATTCTTTATATCTATCTGCTAGTCCCAATTCTTCAAATTTATCTTCAATTCCAGCCATCCGATCGATGCCTTGCGTTCGCTTCTCGTACCTCCACCAATCTTGTAAGCACATCACCGCTTGTACAGTATACGGATCCAAGCATGTCCTGTGATCGTCGATCAAACGACCTGCTGTGCTGAAGGCGGATTCCGAAGCTACCGTCGAAACCTGCACTGTTAGTAAATCACGAACCATGGTGGAAAGTATAGGATATGAAACTGATCCATATACTTTCCACCATTGCAAAATATCTAAAGCATTTCCTTGACATCTAACTAAAGAAGCAGAAAAATATTCATCTATTTCAGAAACCTCCGATGATGACGATCCAAGTCCAGATCCACCAGTTAGCTCGGCTACCATTGCATACCTATCAAAACTTACACTTTTACCTCGGGCTCGGGATGAGCTCGAAGAAACCGAAGCTGCAGACTGTTGTGCAGCTACACCATGTCTAGCTGCATACTCATCATATAAAGTTTGAAAATAATTTCTAATAAGTAAATGATGAGTAGTAGCATTCAGGGTGGTTCCATCATCTAAGTCTATAACCTGTCCACCATACAATGACTGTAACAAACTTCGAAGGCCAATATCCTTCAAGCATGGATCAATAAGAACCCCCAAACCAAAAATATGAGGAATAGGCCTAAAATACTTATTAAATTTGCTCTCCATTTCAAAAACCATAGGTCCAAAAGTAGCATCCAAACGATATTTATCAAAAAAATTTTGAATATTTAAAATTTGTAAAGCAGCTAAAGTAATGGTTGGATAATAACAGCCAGATAATAACATGGTAGCATCATAAAAAACTTGTAACATTTCATTTAAATTACATATAACTGTCCATTCATCTTCAGTTATTCCATAAGTGCTACCAGAACTAGAACTAGAAGCATAATAGTTTATAAAATCAGTTATAATGTCTTTATATTCTATTGCTACACTTAACATTGCATATGTGGAATTCCACCTATGGTCAACATCTTTTGGAATTAGTCTAGGCTTTACATTTTTTCTTTTACAAAATTGTTTCCATCTTTTAAGTCTTTGTTCAGAAGCACTATGCATGTAAGCAACTGTTCTAACCTTTTCTATCATGGGTTTAATTTCAGTAAATGCACTTTGAACAATTAAATTTAAAATATGACAGATGCACCTAATATGAAAAAGATCACCATGACATGGCAATGATAAAGATGATCTGATAAAATCAACAGCTACATTGTTATTACTTGCATTATCTAGTGAAAGAGAAAATATTCTTTGTGAAATTTCTAATTTCATAAGTTCTTCAATTATTAAATTTGCAACATTAGCACCAGTATGTGACTCTTCTATTGCAATAAAAGAAACAACTCTTTTAAACATTTGCCAATTTTCATCAATCCAGTGTGCTGTGATACATAAATATCCAGTTTGTGCTCTAGATGTCCAAATATCAGAAGTTAAAGAAAATTTACAGTTTAAATTTTTAAAATAAGAAATTATTTTTTCTTGTTCTTGCTGATAATATTTTAAAATATCACGTTGACAGGTTTGACGAGAAAATTTTTTAAATGCAGGATAAAAACCATCTCTAAACATATCTTCAAATTCATCATCTTCTACTAATTTAAAAGGAAGGTTTTTAAGAATGATAAACCTGATTACGCATTTCCTGGCTCTGGCAGCGTCATAGTTCCAACTACCGAGACTACCAGAAGAGGAGGATTGAGAAATCATGGATTGTCGGATATCACCTTGAGGAGGCTGGCCTTTGTTGTGTTTATCTAAATGGCGTTTGAGGTGGTTGGTGCCGCTCTTATGATGAGCTTGAAAAATCTTGCCGCACAAAGCACACTTAGCCTTCTGGGTGAGGATCCTACCGTGTTCATCCTTGGTGACGTCGATCTTCTCGTAAAAATTCCACACATCGGATCTTGGCCGTTTAGGAGCTCTTGGTGCAGATTCGTCGCCACCGGATTCGGGATTAACTTCGGTAGGAGGACTGATAGTAGGAGGACTCATAGTAGGAGGACTCAATTCAGGATCGGGAGATATGTTTTGCTCTTCATAATCAGATCCGGAAGCCATTTGGGGATTGGATTAGAAAGTATAAATAAGAGAGTATAAGAGTATAAGAGAGAGTATAAGAGTATAAGAGAGAAGAGATGAGTTTTTGGTGTGAAGAAAACAAATGAAAACCCCCCTCTATTTATAGAACCAGCCCCCTAGGTAAATGACCAAAATAACCTCACAAAATAGCCGTTTTTTGACCGTTTTTGAGGGCAAAACGGTCAAAGGGCCAATCTGACCGTTGTTACCGGGCCGGCCCGGCCCGGCCCGGCCACAACGGCCAGATTTGGCCTTTTGACCGTTTTGCCCCCAAAAACGGTCAAAAAACGGCTATTTTGTGAGGTTATTTTGGTCATTTACCTAGGGGGCTGGTTCTATAAATAGAGGGGGGTTTTCATTTGTTTTCTTCACACCAAAAACTCATCTCTTCTCTCTTATACTCTTATACCCTCTCTTATACTCTTATACTCTCTTATTTATACATTCTAATCCTTTCATCAAATGGCTTCCGGATCTGATTATGAAGAGCAAAACATATCTCCCGATCCTGAATTGAGTCCTCCTACTATGAGTCCTCCTAC